ACTTTTGAGGCAGAACAAGTTTGATCTATTGTGCTGTGGGTTGAGCTCAAAGGACACCCTTAGAATTCTCTCATAAATGGCAACCTTTGAAGATGTTAGTCTCACTAGCTCTCTGAGTGGTGGAATTGGGATCCTTATTGCTTTCTGATCATTTACTGCCAACCACATCTTGATTGTCCATACACCTGGCACCCAGTTAGCAGTAGATCAGAGAACCTTTACAAAGAGGTGACCTTCCTGAAGCCAGTGAGAACCCAGATAAATGTCTCCCTTCTCTATAAAGACGGAGTCTTACAAAGCTGTCTCTGCCTGTATGCAGTGTTTAATAGGATGCAGGGCTGAACAAAGCAAGGGCTGCAGGAATAGTTAAGTCCTTGAGGCTTCAACTAGTTAAGCTGTCTTAAGTGGGAGAGATGGCTTTTTTTTTTTTTTTAAGTGAATTAACCTGCCACTCCAGAAATCAAATGCAGGATTAAAAAGACAAGTCGCCATTGTGTGCTTTCATTCTGTTTTTTCACAAAATTAAGAATTTAATTCTTTAAAAGGTTGTGGAAGATCCCTTGACTCTGAGGCATCTGATTAACTTTAGTGCTGTCAGTTCAGTTGACTGCTTTGTTGGGACAATGACCCTTTGCAATCTGCACTATTCTTTGGAGAAACAGTCAGTCCTTATAAGCAGAATGATTGAGAGTGGGACCTTAGGTGAGTTAGAGGAAAGAATGGAAAAGCCCTAATACCTGAATTTCCTAGACTCTGACATCTTTGCTCTTACTTGCCTTTATGTTAGTAAATCTCTATTCTTGAAAGTACCTCTGTTGATAAGACAAAGTCTATATTGTAGATTGTAAAAACTCATTAAGGAAGGAATTCTTGTTCACCTTTGTATCCAGTGTGCCTAGCGTTGTACCCAGCATATAGTAGGTACTCAAATATTAATTGCCCACCTGGCTAACTAGTAACTGAGATGTCCATATAGCTACCTACCAGGAATAACTATCCCTTTTCCCCTCTTCTTCCCAGGAGGAATATTACTTATGTGTATTATTGTCAGGTCAAGTGCTGATGATTTTAGACTTACATTGCATTAGCTAAAAGAAGCAGGCTTTGCCAGGAATGTGGGAAGACCCCGTTTTAAGTTTCCATTTGCCAGTAAATGTGCCCCACCGTGTTTCTTATTAATCTTTCTCTTCTGGGTTTTATTGTTCAGCATTTACGTAGTACTTTGTAATAAAGTGTTTTATGATGACTAATTACCCTTTCCCTAGTGATGATAAAAGACATTTATTTAGTTAATGGATCAGTTGAGGACTAGTCAAGGTCACATAGCAAGTCCTAGTCTGTTTTTCAGAAGTGCTGAATTGAACATTATGACTTAAGTCACTTTTGTACCTCTGCCATGTGTTGATAATGTGAGAAAGCTTGGGAAAGGTAAGAGGGAAAAAAGTAACTTGGCATGGTACTTAATGGTGTAGAAAAAGACCTCTTCAAATGGTGCAGTCCTTCACCTATGAGAATTCTACCCTGGCTCTAGATAATAATCCTTGGATTATTCTGAAGCCCTGAGGCCGGCCTCAGGAATTGAGGATGTTCTTGATACCAGAGGATATAGGTTACTTCAGGGTGACCTTGATGATCCTCAATTAGATCAGATCCCAGTGTCACTTTCTGGTCAGCTTTTATTCATTTTGTTTGCTTTGTTTGAGATAGAGTCAGTTTTTATTCATTTTGTTTGCTTTGTTTGAGATAGAGTGGATGTCCATCAATTAAAAGTATAAATATCTAGATTCTTCAACTATAATCATGACTTACTCAGTTTCCTATGCCAAGGTCTGTCACACTGCTGTGAACAAAATAGGACTTGTTGGTTTGATTGAAGATTTCGGATATCTGGGTGTCGAGAAGTCAACTAAAGGGGTATGACCTTGAGCAAATTAATTAGCTTTTGTACCTCCATCTCATCTGCCAAATACGTGCCTATTTTTTGGAACAGGTGGAGATAGGGGCATGTTGGGGAGTTAAGATAGCAAGTGTAATTTTTTAAAAGTCTTATTTGTGTATTTATATTCTTCAGTGGGCATTTGAAGTGGCTTATAACACAGAACCTGTATGTGATATAAGAGGAAGTAAAAACTATAGAAAGAATGAAAAAATATTGTTAACCTCGAGGGCTAAGATAGTTGATGAGGTTGATCACATGCAACTTTAAACTTTTAGCAACCAGAGGATAAAAAGAATCATAGTTACAGTCTCCTTAGCAGGCATGGGAAATAATACATGTCAGTTCCTCAAGAGGACAACTTTTCCTGACACAGAGTTCTAAAAGAATTTTTCACGGGACTATCTTAATAGCTGTAGTATAATTCACATTGCAAGGCTTGTTCACGACTGTCACTGGTGATTTCAGATGGTGTGGCTAGGAAAATTTGAGGTAAGAAAAGGAATCCTTGAGTTATAAGAGTTAAGTCTACCACAACTGAAGAAGATCCTTGTTTAATGTTGGCAGTTATCAGTCAAACCAAGTAAGTAATGTAGTTCCCCATAACCGCTGGTTATTTATGCCTCTTTTTCTGCTACTTTGTGTAACAGGAGTGATAACTGTCCTTGGACCTTTAGAAATTGACACTGTGTCAAGTTTATTCTTTTTTCATAATATAAACCCAAATCTCCAACTTGTTGGAGAGCTCTTACAATAAGCATGTTTCTCTGGAAGGCCTATCAGAACGTTTGCTGTTCTCTGAACTTCTGAACATTAAGAGCACTCTCCAGAGTGATCCATTAAACATTTTGACCTAGGATCTGTGCAGTCAGACCCACCAGCAATATGTGGGGAAGGAGAAGAGCGCAAAAGAAACTACTTTTGTTTATAGGATATTCTTTATTTGAATGAAGCTATGTGGCACTAATTCATCAAAAGGGTCAGCTGAGACTTAGGAAGCACATCAAGTAGAGCCCCAATGGGTACAGCTTGGCTGTTAACCTGATAGATAAAATCCGGGTTTCTCGTTTTCTCATAAAAGTTATCTTATGGTTAATTTTTGGTGCAATTGTATAGAATTTACACCAGGACTTGTCAGAATCACTGAAAGGAGATTTCATAGGTTGGCATTTCCTATCTTCACATCATTAGTATCTCTTGATTCTCTTTAGAGTGGCTACTGTTTTAGTAGCAGTCTTTGAAACAGGAGTTGGGGTGTAAGAAGATCCTCTTTTTAAGATTTCTCCACAGATATTAATTACCTCTCTTTTTCTTGTTTGGTTTAGTTAGTTACACTCTAGTTTCCAGATTACTTTGTTCTAAGTTCCTTTAGACATTTAGCTTGTAACAGAAAGAAATCTGTTAGAAGATTTCTAGATCAGTAGTTGTCTAGATCTTTTGCTGCCAAGGTTACAAAGATATACCTTTTCTTTTATCAGGAGTGTGTCATTTGAATCCAGAGTGTTTTACCCAATATAATATTCTTTTTTAAAATGTATTTTTATTTTTTATAGAGATGGGGAAATCCCTGTGTTGCCCAGGCTTGTCTCGAACTCCTGGGCTCAAGCGATTTCCCACCTCGGCCTCCCGAAGTGCTGGGATTACAGGCATGAGCCACCATGCCCACCCTCAATATAGTATTCTTGGAAAGTTGTCTATAAAAGCTATTTGATACATGGAAACATGCAGGTCTTTAGTTGCCTGTGACTCCTAGCAAGTGTACTCTGCCACTCCAAGTAGTTAATGATCTGTAAATAAGCACTTTAATGCCCTCTTGGGGTTGTTTTAAAGGAACTGGCGAGTAAAGGAGAATCATTTATACCTACCTGTTTCTCAAGTTTGGGAATGTGAGTATTGCATTTTTAGAAAGAATGTCAACCCTGATTATACTGGACACATTTTATTATAATTCAGAACTGAGTAGTAACTCAGAACACATGCTAATAAGGTGCGTCAGATGCATTCCTATCATGTGTGAAGGACAACCTGTGTGCATAGACCAGAGTTTTTTCATCTGAGAATCCCAAGTTGAAGACAAATTCTTACCACAAATTTTCCTTTTGATTATTGTCAATACTATCAGTGCCTGTTGTGTAGTAAGCAGTTAATAAAAATTCACACAGAATTGCAGTTGCCTTTCCTCTTCTGATTCCATATTTTCCTTTGACTCACTCAAGTAGTTCTTTTGTCCCACTGTTGCTTGGCTGTTACATGAGACCCCTTTAACTTCCCGTTTCTGTTCCTAAAACTGTGAGTAGTAGTACAACGTAAGTTAGGCACTTGATTTTTGGAGTCAGTTTTACCTTTAGTCTCTACCATCTACTAGTTGTGGGACATTCAACAAGTGAGCGTCCTTTTCTCATCTATAAAATGGGGAACAATGATAGTGCTACCTCTATAGATGGTTGAGAGGATTAGCATTTAGTAAATATAAATTAGTGGCTTATTTTGTACCTAGAGTGACCATATATTCTGGTTTGCCTGGTGCAATTCTGGTTTATACGTGTTATCCTAGCATGCAGTCCAATGAGTGCCTCCGCAACTCTGAAAGTTACCCTGGTTTATGTGGCCACCCTATTTATAACTCTCTGGATGATGCAACACGATAGTGCAAATGAGAGCCTAATTTTGAAATGTTAAAAAACCAAAACAAAGAAGTTTGTATTGGAATGTCTTTTCAATAGGAAAATTTTTTTTCTGACAAAAATGTTATTTTATATAGAGCTTACAGCTACTGAACCCCAAAACATTTTGTTGATTACGGGGGCGGGGTATGTAGATAGAAATCTTAGAGCTTTTGGTGGAGTTGAGATGTCCTCTACCTTACCATTCCCCCATTCGTCCCCCATAATACATAATGCACTCATAGAATGTGGGTATTTGTCAGACAGTGGGCCAGTCTCAGTCCAGGAGTTTATTTCCTTAAACTGCAGGTGTTTGGGGGTTTTCCCAAACTAGAATCCTTGAATTACATTAAATAATTCCAAAGACTGCTGAACTGTGACTTTATCATTTTAGATATGTACTCCAGCACCCCGCCCCACATCCCTGCAGGTACTATTTTTTTTTGCTCTTAACAGCTTGCTCCTAATTGTGTATAACTGATTTTCTCCTGTAGAAGCATGTGGCCTTTGCTGCATGCCACTCATAGAACTAGAGTAGAGCATCCATGCCTTTATTGAGAGACTCAGGCTGGTTTCATTTTTGTTTCTATCTCTGTTTAATTTTTCTAAAGGATTTAGCCTGGTGCCTTACTCTCAGAATGTAGATAATGATTGATACTGCTTAGCAGTATACACTGGGCGACTTAATCATTTACTACCCAAATGGGACACAAAGTAAAAAGTTTAATAAACTACTGGTGAAAGGTAGTATTTGGAATCCTGGGGTAGAGATCGGGAAAGTGCGTTTGAGAACCACAGGTACAAGACTCTCCAAGTGTGCTCCTGCTTTCTTACCATAAAAGCCCCAATGCCTCTGCTAATGTGCCTGTGTACTTAACCTGTGGGGCTTAATGGGCTTAACATGTTCTCCCCTACCAGCCCTAGCCAGTTCACTTGTTTTAAAGTGGACAGCCTGTACTCAGTTGTGTGATGGAAATGAGGTGTGTTAAACAGGAGGGGTCTGAGACTGCTCTCTGTTCCATGCTGTTCATCTTGGACCTGCCTCAGGCTTACTTCTTCACAGTTTGAGGAACTGCCCAGCAAGAGCACACCCTGTTGTTGACATGTTTTTCTCTTTTCTCCGGAACCTGCGAGTGTACGATGGCATTAGTGGAATCCCTCTGAGCCTGTGTGCCAAGGAAAATACTACTGTGCTGATCCACAATAATGCGTGGCTCAGTGTGAGCTAGATGGTAAATCTGTGAGTAACAAAGTAAAGGGGCAGGAGGCTGGAGGAGATAAGTGTAACCATCTTTCATTCACTTAGACCTCCTGAATGAAGCTGTTCATACTGAGTTTTGAGCAATGAGAGGATTGTGGAAGTTCTGTTTTTAATAAATGGCTCCAACTCTTCTAGTACTTACTAATTGTATTAAGGTGAACCTTTGGGACATAGGTTTCCATGTGCATAATGGGAAGTACTTCGTCCCTTTTCCCCCAGGACTGGCTTGACCTCACATCAGAGTTTTTGGGCCATGACCTGTTTCCTTTGTGGTTCCAAAAATCAGGGGGAAAAAGAGAGAGCGAGAGAGAGACCTATCATAAAAGTTAATAGGACAGGCCGGGCACGATGGCTCATGCCTGTAATCCCAGCACTTTGGGAGGCCGAGGCGGGTGGATCATGAGGTCAGGAAATCAAGACCATCCTGGCCAGCCTGGTGAAACCCCGCTCTACTAAAAATACAAAAATTAGCCGAGCATGATGGCGCGTGCCTGTAGTCCCAGCTACTCAGGAGGCTGAGGCAGGAGAATCGCTTGAACCTGGGAGGCGGAGGTTGCAGTGAGCCAAGATCGCACCACTGCACTCCAGCCTGGCGATAGAGCGAGACTCCGTCTCAAAAAAAAGTTAATAGGACAGAGATTCTGATCTGCCCTCTTTGACCAGACCCACCCCTTCTCCTTCCTCAAAGACTTTAAGGAAAAGACTTCAGGTACTCATGACTGTTAGCTTTATTTTGGAGATGTAGAAAAGAGATTCACCTTGAATTTTCAAAATGCACATCCCCGTCTTTGTTTCTAATTTTAGAAGAGAGGTCAATAAGTAGACAGATTTGTGTAGAAGACAGAGAATTGGAATATGCTTCTTTTTTGCCTGTTTGAGGGAATGCTCTTGAGAATCACTGGATTAGAGACCGTAGAACAATGGTTCTTACTCTTTGAGTCAGAGGTCCTTTTAAGAATTTAATGAAAATCCTGGTTCTTTCCTCAGGAAAATTCAGGAGCACAGGAATTTGCATACTCTGTTAGAGGATTTATGGGACTTCTGAAACTCATGAATCCTGGGTTTTAAAGCCCTGATATAGAAGGCCAGGCCTCCAAGCCACACTATCTCTTTTCATTACAAGTCCACAAACTACTAAGAGATTAAGTTTCCAGCCTGCAGTTTGTCCTTATGGCTTGGAACAAAGCTGAGGTTGTTGGCGTTGTCAGCTGCCTCTTTGGGATGCTCCTCAGCTTCCCAGAAGACTCATTAAAAGTGCCTTGAGAGTTCAGCTCAGGAACTTACACACATTGGAACCAGCATTTCGACCACTTCGGGGATTTTTTTGGTATTACCTTAACTCTACCGCTCTTCATATGAAATGCGGATGCCCCTGAAGCTTCAGAGCTGATTCCATAGGAGTGTTTGAAATAGGAGCTCACATAGTAGATTATCAAAACTAAGCAAAATAATTTTCTTCTCTGTGTCTCTCAAAAATAAGTTTGATTTCAATGTAGTACTTCTCAAACTTATATCTTAAGGACTGACCTGATGATATTTGAATCTTACTCGTCATTTGACTTTTCTAGATGGAACATGTTGAGGGCAAAGACCATATCTCACACATATGTATGTAGTACCTGACAGATAATACTGTCAATAAATGTTTATTGAATAAAATAATGTGAGATAATCATTCCTAGGAGAAAGTAAGTTGGACTCATGTGGTGGCTTTGACTCACTTTCCCTTTCAGTTGGCTGGGGTGATTTTTCTAACTCTTAGAGCCCTCTCACATAGGTGTAAGGAAGTACCGAGAACTGCAGGTGAGAAACTGATGAGAATTTCCAACTTAATATATCCCTTTATAATGCCAGAAATAGGAGGTCAGGGAGAAGACATCTGAATATATGCCTCCAGCTTCTTAGCCCAGTGGCAGTGGGCATAGGGATATCCTTAGACAATAACGGGGAAGGTGACTTGAATTTCTCACCATTGAAACAACTTTTAAGCCCTTAGCATTAGGGACACTCTGCCCAAAGTTGAAACTGGTATCCTGGTTTATACATGCTCTTGATTTAAAGAACAGGGAGGCTTTCACATAGGGTGTTTGAGGTTTGGGGATTTGTGATGGGTTGAATAGTTTGATTTTGAAAAGTACATTGGAACTCTGAAAGTAATAAACAATAGCTCTGCCCGGCAGTGATGAGCAAACTTCTGGTTCTTACTCTGCAACCCTGGCTTCCCCTTCTGAGCCAAAGGCTGCGTTTGATGCTCAAAAGCTATACATGCGCTTCTCTCTTTGAAACACACCTTCTTTAGAATTACAGTCTTCTGGGAACCAGGCCAATGCTTGTCCTAGCCAGAAGCTCAGGCTGTAGTTGGCACTAAATTTTGTCTGTTCTGTTTCACTTCAAGTGTGTAACTTAGGCAAGATTCAGGGGAAAGGGAGACCTTCAGAATTTTGCTATTTTGTGT